TTTCTACTACTCTCAACGGTTCCGGGATATAGTCTCACCTGTCATAGCAACATGATCTGCAGAGATAGGGAACATCTTTAAATTCACTTCATCCTCATTCTAATTGCATAAAATCACACGACTTCGAGGCTTCTAAGGCTGACGCGAAAAGGTTTTCAGTCTTTTCAAATGGTTTGTCCGAACCAACCAAGCGCTGTCAGATTGGGGATGAATTCGGCAGTCGTTGCAAGCAGGCCTAAAAGAGAGGCCTTCGAAACCGCTCAAGAGACTCATTGTAGATACAAGGCTACAGGAACTCAATGCTGAGCTCTCACAAATTCATAGTACAGGAACCCAGCGTCGAGTTGGACAACGACATGGTGGCTAGTGCACAGGCATCGTTGCCCGTAAAGTGCCCCCTCTTCCCTTCTCCCAACCGACAACAGGATTTCGGACGCAAAGTGAACAGTCAATTTGGCCAGCCCAAGCCTGGCCTAGTTTACATGAACACGAATTAAACGTCCCGACGTCATACGCCCCAGTCCCGACCTCACTCATGAAAGGGCATACAATTGCTCACTTTGGGCTAGAAATGATAGTTAGGCCCGTTATCCTTAGCAGGTTGACCATTTTGCCCTACCTTTTGCGCACAAAATGGGTAGAATCGGATTGGCAAGACGGCATAAACTGCATCAATCAGTCTTACATCTGACCGACTCTGGCTCATTGAAATAGTTGCCTCACTGGAAGGATGGCTCTTCCCTCGTGTGTTGTGATGCAAAACGTTGTCAGGAGAAAATTACGAAACGAGCAAAAGTGGCAAAGAAGCAATGAGAAAACGACGAGATGGAGAAATGAGGAAACCAGGATTTGAGCGAATGAGGAGACAAATGAACGGGAAAATGAGGAATTGAGGACTAGAGGAACTGATGAAGCAAAGGAAGCGAGGAAATCGAGAAACAAGGAAAGAGGAAATGTGCCGTTGAATGGACAAATCGAAGAGAAAAAAAGAGTCAACCAGCAAACTAGCATTCGAGAATGTGAAGAGACTGAGAGGCGCAAGATGGAGGAGTCGGGGAATCGCCACGAAAGCTGGCTTTCAATTTGGCCAACCGACTGACCATGTTCTAGCGCTAAATATGCCCTCTGATTCGGGAAATCAGCTCTAAGTGTTTGTCCTTCACATGTTTACTCCCGTCTTCCCACTCACCGTCGTCGTGCCCGAAGTGTGAGCTCAATGGCCGCTTGCAGTTGATACGTCTATTGATGGCGAAGTTTGTTGTAGCGAATAACCCCGGTCGTGAGAAGGGGAGTGGAGGACTGATGATTGCGTGATGGATAATGGGCGATGAGGCTATGGGAAGAGTCAACTTCAAAAGTTTGCCTTCTTCTGAAGGAGACTGCCGATGTAGAGGGAGCAAAGGAGCAAGATGACAACTCAGACAAAGGGTCGCTAAGCCTGGCTGTATGAGAAAAGAGAAACCAATCCAGCCATCAATCAATCAGTGATTCATTCAATAAACCAAATGATCGATTGGCTGCTGGAGAGTCAACTCCAATCTGAATTTTCATTTGTGATGCCATTTTCTAATACCTTTCTTCAAGTTGGGCCTGCATCAAATGCTGTCTCACCTCGATCCATAGTTCCGTCTGTCGATCGGTCGGTCTGTTGGTCTGTTGGTCAGTCTGTTTCCTCCTGAAGTAGGGGCAGACTGGGGTAGGCACTTCCGCTCAGGAGTCGAGACATGACCCCGCAACACACCACCCAAGGGGTGTGTTACATTACATCTTGGCCGGATCTGCGCGCGAGCCTGTGTGTGCGTGAACGGGTGGGAATGTCGGCATGCTGAGAGGACTTTAGAGAAACATCTCCCGGTGCCAGGCTGTCCTCGCGATTGTCGACTTCTTGGCGGTCGACAGGCCAGCATGGCGTTCGTTTGTCTCTCCTCGTGTCGTCGACCTCTTTAGTCTCCACCCCACAGCCCCAGTCCCCCTGTTCCCTTGTCCCAGCCTCGCAACGGCCTTTTGTACGGCTGCTGTTTCGCCGGTCGTGCCGGCCAACCTACCGGACCGGCTGTGCTTGCGACAGCTTCGGCCGATGCCTAAAAACCTCTGCCTTTGGAAGAGCTTGGCACAGACTTTTCCACTGACCCTAATTAGGCGGATCATACTTGGTTGATTCGGTTGCGAATGCAGCCGGAACAGAGGAGGTACATTTGTCATGGCAGCTGCACACAAAGGCACTACGCTTGCCGGCAGTGGCCATAAGGTAATGAATGGCTTTGCTGGAGCCTTACATTCGCTTGGTACACCTCCTTAATGGTGGTACATAACACATGAAATCTGAAGTTAAGCCACACCTTTAGACGACCGAGCATTCAACCGCTTTACACCAGATTTCACGTGGCTTCTGGCAAATTCGTCTAGAGTAGGTGTGTTTTGATTGGAATGTTGAGAAACGCATTTTAAGCTTACTATTACAAACGTCTTTATCCATAGAAGCTTCGATAAAATGTATTTATTCTATCATATTTATGAAGACCAAGATGGTATGCACTTCTGTTTGGTCGCAGTCTCACCTTCATAGTGTCGGTTCGACGTGGTTTCGCAACTTTGGGTACATCCCCTAACGTTTTGCCACCTTGACAAGTTGCAACTCTGTGCCTACGATGGCGCCTCTCATTGACGATGCTGGCGAAACGTTTGGGAATGTACCGAGCCAATGGTTAAATGCTGGAAATCACGAATACTATGACAGAGGATACATGACTAGGTTCGCTAAACAAGGCCTCCCTGACGCTCCGACCAATTTGCGAAACAAGGTCGAACCAACGCAATAATACATATATTTTTAGTATAATAATAAATATTATTATTATCCTTTCGCCTCGGTTTAGAAAGTAGACTACTGAGGGACCGGTGAAACGTAATGCAGTGCTTTTTCTTGCGAGTAGCCTCTATTTATATGTCAGAAGTATTTGGTCCTACTAAAATATAGAATAATAATAATCAGAATCCTCGTGATTTTCGTTTTTATTTTTATTCGGTTAACCCACATAATTGTGTAGGCTATGGCGCTTGTTCCATCATGAGCTGACCGAATGTTTTGAACACATTTGCCGAGGTTTTCCTCGGGTAAAAGTCCCACACAATACTTATGACATTTGTCTTAATCTTTTCTGAATCAAGTCGGGCCAGCAGATCCGAAACGTTTCTTCAACTACTAATCACTCCGTCATTCTATTATGAATACACTATGTTGATTAGACCCTCTTCCAAAAGCTATCCACTTTTCAAATGCCAAACATTGAGTTCCTTGTCTTTGCTGTTTCCGAAAACAAAAGTAAATTTTTTTAATAACTCCTAGGACGGAAATGCTAAGACGATTTGTCCAGGGCAGTCTGAACGTAATCCTGAATTACACACACACACAAACAACTCGAAAGGAAGAGCGCAACAATACAGTCTTTACCTTCTCCGGTTAATGAATCTAAGTGGAAATGATTGGCCTCGTAAACGGTCTTTATTCATGCCTCTGTCCCATGCTGAGCTAAACATTGCAATTCCAGGTGACTATAACAGTTGCACAAGTGGCACTAACGACCGCCAAAAGTGAACTTAAGCCAGAATCATCCTCACTTCGCGCGTTATGTAGAGTATGTCATGCATAATGAATAGCCGGATAACCCTCCATTACGTCAGAGATTGTTCCTCTGACTTAGTCTCTAACATAATTCCAATTTGCAAAAATAAAGCCTATAACTTAATTTGTATGTGTTTATAAAGGTATACATTT